TTATTACGCACACTGCTGAACATGAAGCAGCCAATACCTGTGTAATGTATGTGAGCTTTCCAACTACCTTTTAGTACTTTGTAGTAGTACAGCATTTTGTTTGCAGATGCTCCGGTTGAGAGCAACTGATGAAAGGGGGAAGGGACCCAAAGCTGACCGACCTAATTGCTCTGTGGATTGAGAAGCTGGCAAAATCATTACTTTCTTTTATATGCTTTCTTTCTATACTATAATAAAGATAAACATTGATTGCTAGAGCAATATTGATTGTAGGGGTCACTGCAGATGGCAGCTGCATGATTTGCACAAATACCTCCCCATGTACAGCAGTGCTCATTTGCATGAGAATGCAGCTTCACCATCCTCATGCGTTGCAGACTGTCCACTTGCCTTATAGAGGCATTTACCCAAACTACGTATAGCAGTGATTAGCAGTAAAATATGAAACAAAGGACTGAGACAGTTTGTCTTCTGACTACATTTTGTGTGTGTGCCTGCCCGCCATGGGTAAGTGGAATTTATTGTCCCAGCCGTGCAGAAAGCAGCACAGGACACAAGGGAACTGCTGTAATTATGCTCCAACATCCGCACCTCCCTTGGGAACACCACGCAGCCGCACAGTGCACCCGAGAGACGTGCTCCTTCCTTCACCCACTGACCCAGACACTGCACAGGCCATGTCCCTTCATTTGGGCACAGATGCCTTCCTCCAGGCCCCAGCTTTGGGTCAGCAGAGTCACAGTGTCCCCACAGAATGGCTTCAGTGTTTTCTCCTGAGCTGAACCTGCCCAGTGGGATCCTTGTCTGCTTGTGAGCAATGGAAAAGGCCCCTCCAGCGTGGGCCAGGCTCACGAGGAGGGAGGAAAGTTGCCTACCATGAGCATGGTGCTTATGGCAGAGCACAAAACCCTACGCTCAGCCAAGGTTGAGTCCTTGGGGTGCACGGGAGCAAGCTTCAGGAAGCAGCAGGGGTATTTACACCCCTTTCTATCAGTGGTGCAAGCCCCTGAGTGGCCCATTGAAGGTCGGGCACATCCTGCCAGGGATACTGCTGCCTCTCTCCTCCACCTGCAGCCTCCAGGAGGGAGGCAGGGGAAGGCAGAGGAGCAAACTGAAGAGATGGCCTTCTCACCTCCTTGGACACTGCCAGGCTGTAGGTAAAGCTACACCTCTGTGTGTCTGTCTTACAGCTTAGCAAAATGCATCTTGTTGTGGGCAGTGCTGCAGTCTGAGACCGCTGCTGGGTGACCTGCTGATATTGAAATTCAAAGGAAAAGCATGCATATTTAACCCCAATTCATCATTTTGATTTTGATTAAGTCTGCAAGTCAGGGGCTTGCAGGCTTTAATCTTGTTTTAAGAAAATACTCCTGTCCTCTCTTCTCAGTGTTTTCCAACAGGAAATTCAGCAGAAGGGTTTTTCCTATTATTTATCTCCTTCCACTGACTTGGTTGGATGCATCGTGGACCTCTGAAATACCTTCCCAGTATCTTTCCCAACCATGTGTTGTCCAGTGTACAGAGTGCTCTTATTTCCTCAGTGGCCCATAAGGAGGAGATTAATACTGGAATCCAGGTTTCTGACATGGTTACGCACTGACACAAAGCCCCTTTAGCAGATGAGCAGGCACTCCATTTGGTGAGTACTATTTATATACAGTGAGTGAGCATTTCATAGATGCTTTTTGGAAGATCTTAGAAATATACCACTGTTCAGAGTGTTACGCTTCATTCTTCATTTCCTTTTAAGTATATCTCTTGGGGTGTTATGTTGAGTAGCCCCGTCTTACAAAATCAATTATTCCTTACCCAGCTCAGAAGTAAAACCCAAAGTAAGCAACACCAAATGTCTGATTTACCAATAGATTGCAATCCAGCGCTAAAGAGGATAGCCACTGCCCTGCTTTAAATATTCATGAAGCCCACTGGTGCAAAATGCATTAAAGGTGGGAATAATGCCAGTAATACACGATCCTCTTAGTGACAAGAAGCTTTCACATATTAAAGTAGCAAGATGTTAAAGACTTTCAACTGAACAGCCTTTGTTTTTAACTTAGAGAAAGAGATTCACTAATGGAATGCCAAATTGCATTCACTCTCGTTATATTAGACTGCAGAATAGGATAATAATACATGCGTGCTTTACCATGCTGCCGAAAGCCTGTTATTACCGTGGGTTCTTATCTGCATTTTCTTCATACTTTGCAGAAAATGTTCACACACATATCTTACCCCTTTGAGTAGTCTTCTATGTGACAAACCCTCTGTCAGAATCCCAGGAGTCTAGCCATTAACAGATTGGTTTTACGCAAATAAGAAGATTTAAAAATAATGGTGACACAGTACAATAGCACAATTTAGCTGAGTGACAACTGGCAATGAATAACAAAAAAAAAAAAGAAAAGAGTTAAACCAGAGAACCAGAGACAAGGGACTACAAAATAACAGACTGTGGCAATGCAGAATAATGTTAATTGTCGCTTTAAATCATCAGCAGTCCAACCACATCTGCTATCACACCTGTGCTCTCTTCGCTGATCTACTCTGACACCCCAGAAATATCAGGCGAAGAGCCAGCCTCCTCTCTCCAGCTCTCTGTGGTCTGGCTCTGTTACCAGCTTGCACCCCTCTTACCTGAAATAGGTCAGGCACCCTGCACCCTCAAACTGTTTCTGATTGATAGGGGACACTGCCGGTGCTGGGCTCATCACCCTGTAACAACAGGTCTTGGGGCTGCTGGGACCCACTGAGCCCATTTGGATTTTATAAACCTCATCAGTCAGGTGAGACAGTTAAAGCAGCCCTGCTTACATCTGAAATTTGTTCTGCATAAAAACAGTGATCAAATAATAAACTGAAATTTCTTTTCCCACTTAACCTAAGGACATTTTCTGCACAGCAGATCTTGGCCAGGGAGTGGGGGATTATGTCTATCTCATGCCCAACATGGAAATTCAATTAACGTACTTTTGAAAGAGGGATCTAGGTCCCCCATACATGGACTGCTTTTATTCTAGAAATAAGAATAACAAAGAGCTAACACCCAGAAGGCTCATTTTTTTTTCCAGAAAGACGTTTATCCAAGACTAATCGGGGGGCAGGGATAGGAAAACAGGGCTCTGCTATGGCATACGAAGTTGTTTACTTCAAAGCAGACCTTTAACAGGCTTTACATGGTCTTCATGCTTCTGGTTGGAAATCTGCTTTCCTGCCTTTTAACAGTTTGTCTAGTAACATCTTCCCAGTAAATACCCTTCCCTGCTTCCCGCCCCAAGAGGTGTCTTCCCCTGCAGAAAGACCACCTGTCAATAAAGACTGAGACCTTCAGCTCCTGCAGTCATTATGCTGCTCTAAGCCAAGCTGTTTCAAAGGGGAAGAATTAGTGCAAAAGCTGCAGTGGGAACATTACTGGGTTAAGTTGGATCAGGCTATTTTACCAAGCTATTTCCAGAAAAAACAACAACCCACTGCTACTCAGTGCTTATGATTTATAATGTTATCTTGTAGCTAATTTTATTCCTTGCCCCTCTCTTCTCCTGCCTTCCAATTTGGAAATGCACTTAATTATGAAAACATGAGCACTAGACTGTGAATTTTGATATATTAATTTTACCATGATTTTGTTTCTACACTGCACCAGCAAAACTTTCAAGGACAACGGTCAAGGAGACAATGAAAATCCTGACACCTGGCGTAATTTTCTTAAGCAAAATCAAAATTAAGCCATTTCTCCCACACAAATCTCATTACATTACTGCAAACCTTTAACCATGATGTGTCTTGCTCCTGTTTTTCAACAATTTCCTTTGATAACTGGAACCAGAGCAAGGCCTCTGTGATCTGTTTACTTCGTGTTTTTTAAAGACTAGAACCGGAGGTTATTAAAAGCCTGGCAAGACAAAACCAAAACGAGCACAAACGGATGGCCATGACCATATTGCTAAGCTTCTTCACTGAACAGCAGAGATGTTCATTATTTCACGCCTGACCAGCAGTGCATGGATGCCTTGCCTGGATGAGGTCAGCTGCCCAGCACTGGGCCCAATTATAATATTCACCATTCATTCGTTCATTCATTCATTGACTCCTTTCTGCTCCATTCCTTCCATCCGTCCAAGTCAGAGTTCGGGCAATGCTGACATCTCACTGCTCAGTCTCTCTATCCATCCTTTAGCTACCACAGCCCTCAGCTTCAGAAACATCATCCAGACAACAGCTCCAACATTTGCATGATTATTTTGTTGTCTCTCTGAATTTGTATTAATTACTTAGATAGAAATATGAGGCTTGGCATTAAGGCAGTTTTAGAAGTACAGCTCTGTATTTTTTGTATTGGCTGCTCCAAAATCACAATGAAATTTAGTTTAAAATTGGCTTAATATATGTTTGCATAGTTTCTAGGCAAAACTAAAAAAAAACCTGAGTAGATAAAATTAATTCCCTCCAGCTTATGTGGTTAAGGTTTAAAATAACTGAACACTTTTGAAACCTCTTTTAAACTATAAAAAATAAAACTATTTCTATTGAGAAAATGTCTAAATATATGCTCTATTTCAAACATTTGAGGGTTAGGTCTTCAGCTCCAGCAACCAGGAAAAAGCAAGAGAGATTTTCCAGCATTTCTAATGCCACACATGAATTACCATGATGATAATACTAATGATACTTTTTAACCAGAAAAGCTTTAGGTCAGTTATTTTTCCCAATTCTATTTTTATCAAAGTATAAAGTTGTAAAACTCCAGATGGAATAGCATAAGTTATAACAGCAACAACATGGATAACTGTGTTTCTAGACTTCGTTGAAATCATGCATGTTCCAAAATTATAAACCAGACTCTTTCATACATTTTTTCAGAGTAATAACCACCTCAATCACTGTGTGATGAATTTATGTGTGCAGAAAATTGAATAGCTAATGTTTGTAATGCTTTCTAAACCACAGTACCTTTAAATAATACAACATTCATTAAAATAGAAGAAAAGACCAAATTACTGTACCAAACATCCTCTGCATCTTCATCACACTCTGCCCCAAACTGGCAAATGTCACAGGTCGATGTCTCTTTTTGATTGGTTTCACCTGAGCCTTCATTGACTGTTTGATGGAAAGCAGAAGAATATACATTAGTAAAGACAGCACTGTAGTAAAGCACTTCTCTCTGTCTCAAAAAATCTATTCACTGTGTCAGCTTAACGCGCTGCTCACTTAGCCCATGCCTGGCCAACAGACAGTATTTCTGAATGGGGCCAACACGCAGATTTCCATGTTGGTCTGTGATAAATTCCCTGAATCATGGAGTTAAAAGGGAAACTGGAGAAAGACTCTTCCACTTAAACAATGACCCTTTCAAGCTGCAGCCTGGAAAGGTTGTGTCCCCTCTGAGCCTCACTGCCTTGTTCCCTGGGAAAATAACGGAGGTGTATTGATAGCCTCACATGCTGCCTCGTGTCCTTTACTGGTGAAGGTCTTGAGACGGACCCAAGGGGATGCTTTCTTCGAAAATGTTTTGAAATTACCTGCCATGTGGTGCAATCTAGTCCATTCCAAAGGCAAAACATTTTTCTCTTCAGAAGTACAGCTGTGAGCCCCAAGGACTAGTTATCTCTGGCAGAAAAGATTTAGTGCTGTCCAGAGGAGGGAACGATCTCCAGCATAGGTTAAATTTGAAACCCAGGAAAGTCAACGCCAGTGTTTGCAATTATGTAAGGTTTGTACCTGGCCCTTAAGTCAAAAACATGAAGGGACCAAGGGAAAAAAAAATACAGTTGTAAGAGGACTGAAGAAAAATATTGACAGCTGAGTACTAAAGAGAGAAAGAGACCACTAAGGTAGGCACCAAGAAGAGGGTTTGTTAAAATATCCAAAAGAAATGTTATCTACATTTGTATTAAAGTGTATAAGCACCTTTTGATATCTTTCCATAGGTGCTGCTTTCTAGTAAGACACTGTAGCTAGCGATATCCTTCTGCCAGTTACAGAATAATTAAATGAATCCAGACTTTAAGTATCAATCAGCTTTGACAGATGCTGTTATCTGCATAAACAGCCTCTGCAGTGACATCCTTTAATTTCTCTCTTTCATCTGGAGTCAGCACTGTGTTGTAGGCTTACTGCACAATTGGGTCCAACCTACCCAGTCTGGTGGACACACTGGAATGTGTTGGGAGCCACAGTGACACTGATGGGACAAACCACCTGCCTGATGGTGTACATCCACTGCATGAGACCGTTAACCTGGGTGTTACCCAGTGGAGGCTTTTGGGTTGGAGTGCTCTGACTTTGAATAGGCTGCTTTTGTTATTTACTGAAGAAAGGACAAGAGCCCCAAGCTTTCACAAAGCTGCTGGAAGAGAAAGGGCTTTTGCCTCCAGAAGAGCAAGTGTGACCCCAGGGCTTGCTCTTCAGCAAATTTGCTTTCTTACCCTGGGCAAGTTATTTAATCTTTCTCATTTTTTCCACTGTGTAAATGGGAATAATACCACTTTCTACCAACAGAGAATATGGAAACAAGTATATTAAAAGATCGTGATATGCTTAGATACTACAATGATATAGACCACAGAAATACCTAAGGCAGATATTTTGTCTCAGAAGTTTCTTCCTGAGGTTTAATACAGTCAAAGCAAGCGTTGGTATGTTTAGGTATGAGCTATGCTGCAGCAATTTCTTATCAGTTGCGCTTGAACTTAAACTATATTGAATTAAAAAAATACACTTATTATGAACATTCTGATGATCCTAAAAGGAAAAAAAAAAGGGGGGTTGCCCTATTTGTAGACAGTTGCTTACCTTTATATGCATAAAATTCACGTACAAAAAACAAAGAGAAAACTCAAAACATATGCTGGATTTTTGGTCTACTGCATTGTCAGGTTTTGTAGGGAGGGGCTGTGGTTTTTCTGTTTCTTTAAATGACTGAGGAACTCCTTAGGCTCACATTTTATAAGAGCCAACGTACAAGGGTGGACAAGGTGTCCAAGTGCTATGTCCTCAGGCTATTAGCATCTCCACGTGCCATGTTTGTGACCCTGACCCAGCAGCACCGGGAGGCTCACGCTGCTGCACAGCTCCTCTCTGCTTCTCTGCAGCTACATCCAGGCCTGCGGTTTTCACTAAGTTTCATTTACATTTTAAATATAGAAATCTCTTTGAATGAGGAGATAACTTTGACAGCCAATCTTGGCAGGGAATTTCCAGTGGTTAAGACATTAGACAGGTCACACAACGAATGACTATGTGCAAAGGACAACAGGACCTATGGGCAGAAGACTTCTTATGACAGCTGAGCACTCCTCACCTACCAGGAATATGACAATTGCTCCAGATTGAGAGGATGAGAATATACTCTTTATAGAAAAGAGTAATAATTTCTTTATTTTGTTATTCTGCAAATAACTTCCCTTGAACTTCCTTTTAATTAAAAACATATGTCCTATTTTTTTTCCCTCCTTGTAATGTTTTTATTTATAACGGTCCAGCAGGTATGGTTTGATCAAGGACTTCACACAGTTCCACATCACAAGTTCAGTCAAATAGCTACTTAAATCTTTAAAGAAAGACATTTGAAGATGGAGCATGTTGAAGAGAAGTAACTGATTTAAAGAGGAACACCCACACTAAGTCACAGTGCAGTTCTTAATTTCTACTAGAAAATAATGTCACTCCTTTGTATTTTTCTGAAGAAGCTCTGCATCCAGCATTGCATAGTCAATGTGCAAGTTGTCATTAGATGTCCAAGCATGCAGCAGTCTTGATTAAAAAAGACAGCTGCTTATCTCTCTCTCCCTTTGTTTTTCTGTTTTCAGTAACCACAGATAATATTATTCTTTACATTTCCTTCAGGTGTGTTTTGTCTCCCTACACAAACATACACGCTGGCTTATGCACCCACACCCAGGACTGACACACACAGGGGCTTGTTTTCTCCACACTGTGCAGATAAGTGCTTTGATAAATCTGGACATCTTAGAAAGAGCTATTTTCACAACATTTCCTTCTGCTTTTTAGTTTGAAGACTAGTGGATGCTCATTTTCTAAGGTGACTCTTTTTCCTTTTTTTCCTCACTGCACTTGCTGATTTGCACTTGCTCTCATATCCCAACTAAAAAAAAATTGTTAGCAAAAATAATCTTGTTTCTGGATTCCTCTTCTAAAAATAAAAGGTGTACGATTCTCTTTCTCATGCATGTTACGTAGTTCTCATATTAGCAATGGTTGAGGTTTAACACCATGACCCTGTAGGAAGGTAGCAGGGCTATTCGCTGAAGTCCACTGCTTATTACTCATCCAAGTGAGAAATGTTAAGCTGCAAGTTCCTATTTGTATAATGTTAGTGACCTTCTACCCCGTGTTAGCACATGTCCTTGAACTCTGGAAGTTGCTAATCTTGCAGAGTTCAAGGACATGTGCTAACATGGGGTAAACGGTCACTAACATTATCTGAAAGTCACTTCAGAGACTCTCTCAATCTCCTAAGCAATATAAATTCTTGAGCTGGGAAGGCACTACACACAATTTACAGAGCCAATGGACTGCAGGAACCACAACAGCTCCTGGTGTAATCATTTGGTCCTTTCCCAGCATTCTCACTACACTCATATCAGATAGTCATGATTATCTGTAGTCAGGAATATCTGTATTGCTTGCAAGCCTTACAACAAATAAACTGTTTTTGAGACACTTTACTTTTGTTTCCATAGCTGAAAAACTAGACTGTCATCAGTAGATTAGTCTGACTCTGTGCTTCTCTCCTGTAGTATCAGGAGAAAACTAAAAGCCTCAAAGTGTTCCCCTGCTGTAGACACCTCTACTTTCTCTTTACTCTTCAGTCTCTTTGAGTCAAGAGTCTTCTGTAGGTGCTACAACCCCAAAAAACCATGCTATGACTTCATATACAGCTTCCCAGACTCATGCTCTACTAAGAGTTGATGCCTGGTGGTTTAGCTGTTTTAACAAATCAACACCAAAATCCCTCTGCTTGAGCTTCTGGCTAACCCTTGCTCAGTCTTCCCAAGATGCTCCATGAGTGTCAAAGGCAGGATGGAAATAAACTCTTCACAATTTCTAGAAAAACAGTTCCAATGGGATGGCTAGGAATATACACAGCAGCTCACAGTCTTGATCTGAGATACACAGCATCATCTATTTCCTAAGTGACGCAAGGGACATGTACACAACTTGCCTGATGGGACCGTATTGTGAGGAGTAAATGGAAGTGTAAAGAGTAGCTGGTGAGTCATGAGGGTGAGAGACAATCAGGTGGCAACACTGGCTAAATACAAATCTCAGTCTCTCTTTGCTAACATGCCTCTGAAGGCAACAGGAGAAGCTCGAGAGAGTCACAGTTTTCATGTGGCTTTGAAGGACTACTAACATTAGTATAACAATCCTTATTCAATATATTTAACTGTACTGGAGAACACAACAAAGAAACAGTGTAAAACATAACCACCACACACTTGAATACACAAAAATATAATTAATTGTTAGGATTTTATTTTTTTGCATTATGCAGCCTGATTGATGTGATCAGATGCGTACTCATTTCAATCTCTGATTCTGGCTTGACTCTTCATGGTGAGACATCTTTGCCTTTGTTTAAAAAACTTCAAACAAAGCTTGCTCTAGCTCATCCTAACAGGATATCCACTTGTTTCTAGGTAATAACAAAGAATCACGTGGAGGTGAAGGTTGATGGCCATTTTTGTATTTCAGAATAAAAGACAATGTGCAAATTAAAATGTGGAGGAGGAGAAGAAGAATGCTCTTCAGAGCAGCTGAGGTGATCTTGCACATTGCTTCAGTCCTACCAGGAGTGCTCTGGGCAGGTGGCAAGGTGAGTGGACGAAGTGAGAAAGCTCTGAGAAACCAGGGCAGAGAAGCCAGCAGAATTTACTAAATGTATTAGAACAAACACTACCTGCACCTCTACCAAGTGTCTAAAAACATCTCACAAACTTGACCAATAAAAGCCCAGATGCTGCAAGCAACTTTGCTCTGATCAATAAGTCTTTTTCCCTGAAAGCATTAGCTCAGTCAAAACCCGCAAAGTGAGAAAAATGGAGGGTGCGAATCAGGGGGTCGACTCATGAATG